CATTATGCCCCGGCTGTCACAAGTACAGAGAGAAAGGGCTGTGGGCATGATCCAGGCTGGGGAGTTTCGCCGTCGAGTTGCACGGCATTTTGGTTGCAGTGTTAAGACAATTTGCCAGTTGGTAAGTCGTTTAAACCAAACTGGGTCAACATCCGATCGTCCCCGAAGCGGCCGACCCCGTAAAACAACCGCCAGGGATGACCGTCGTATACGATTGATACACTTGCGCAATCGATTCGTAACCGCAGTAGAGACTACAAGGACATTGTTTGGGCGTCGTGTGTCTCCCCAAACAGTCCGCAACAGGTTGAGGGCCTACCAATTGAAAGCGCGGCGTCCCTACACTGGACCCAAATTGTTGCGACGTCACCGTAATAATCGGCCGTAACTGGACCCGTGTTCGCCGTCGTTGGGCCTTACGACAATGATGAGTCCAGATTTTGTTTGCAACACGGTGACGGAAGACGCAGAGTGTGGAGGCGACGAGGGGAGCGTTTTGCGAACTGCTGCGTCGCAGGACGGGGCCGCTTTGGCAGCGGAAGTGTAATGGTTTGGGGTAGTATTTGGGAGGAGGGGGGGAGGGGGGGGAACTCGTACCAGGCTCGTTGTGTTAAATGGCAATTTAACCGGCATTAGATATCGGGACGAAATTTTTTAAGACCAGTGGTTCTGCCATTCTTAAGACGCCATGGCGTTGGCGCCATTTTTCAACAGGATAACGCACCAGCGCACACCAGTCGCGTCAGCAGAACTTTCTTGCAGCAGAATAACGTACAGGTGTTAGATTGGCCATCTAAATCACCTGATTTGTCACCGATCGAGCATGTCTGGGACGTTCTTGGGCGACGCGTGAGAGAACGTCAAAATCAGCCGTCAAACTTGCAGGAGCTGGCCCAAGCCTTGATCGCTGAATGGAACAACATCTCTCCTCGAATTATCCGCCGGTTTACGAGTTCCATGCGACGACGCTGCAATGCTGTTTACTTCGCAAACGGTGGCCATACCCGTTACTAATGGTGTTACCTTTGAAATTGACCCCAACGTCCTTTACAGTCGAATAAAATCAACTGAACGCAAAGTTTTATAATGAACCATGGCTGTAGTTTTATCAGAATTGATCAATTACTTTATTCGTACATGATTGGTAAGGATTTATGAAGGGGTTAATTAATTAATCACAGAATAAAGTAGTGTTACCTTTTTTTTTTTTGTTTAGTATATAGACATGGATATGAATTATGAAAATAAGAATGTTCTGCAATATTCGTAATACTCTGTTTAATTGTTGTGTTTGTTCGTGACGTTTTCATTCTTAATGAATATAGAAAGGGATTATCTTAGATGTTGATCCTCATGAATGGCCTGTTTCATGGCTTCAATCCAGAGGTTTTGTACATTGTTTAAAAACATGGAAGATGAAAAATATTAAATTCAGATGTAAAATCTGAAACAAACTTAATGTGAATATTACTTAATCGACTCAGAAATCTTTGGTATTTGCGTGCAAGACAAAATACATTTTGTAACAGAAAGTGCCAAAGTTTCTCGCTCGCTCAACCGAAATTTAGTTGTATAGGAAATCCGATGTGTTCTTATTTTGACGGGAAAGGATATTCATTTTAACCCAAACTTTTGGTAACATATTTTTCAGATTATTTCTGAGCATTTATGCGTGTTTCTGCGGTTTATATGAATTATTTCGTGAGAGCCGGACAGGACTCGTCACATATGCAGTTTTTGTTGGGCTCTCACAATAATACCATTACGATAAAACGCTCTCAGACATGTTTATATTTATGCTTCATGTTAGTAAAAGTAACACTTGTTCATTGTAATCTATCTTTAGAAATATGTCTCTATTTTGCTCGACAAATGGTCCATAGTACGCTATCGTTACAGGTTACATCACCTGTCTCTAGACTGTCATTTGTGGTTGCTGGATGGTGGACACAACGAATGCGACATATTTGTGCCATAAAACTGCTGCTTCAAGTCTTTTTATGTTCGTTAAAAAATATCGCTTGTGTATATATAAAGCCTTAGAAAAAAATTCATGACATTTAAAACCGACGTATGTACTAGTGTTCTTAATCTAACAAAAATCCAGACGCCCACGTGACTGCCCTATTCAGTTTTCCTCAGTATGATTTGGAGGAGTTTATATTTACGTATCTGTCTATAATCACCTTGATACTTAGTTGTTAAAACATATAGGTCATGACTAAGTGCTGTCGGACATAAAATAAAATTCAACACCATGTGCATATGTAAATGTCACATAAATATTAGAAACATAATATGTGATATGGATGGTGTTTTCTATATCTGGTAGTTTGCATACAAATACTGTAATGAAAAAACCTACAAGACAAGTATACACAGATTTATGAAGAAATTATATTCAAAATTACGAACCATTTATAAAAATGAGCCGGTTTTTAAAACATATAATGAAAGGAGTTAAGTAAGGTGATAGTCTACCTAAGTGTAAAGTAGCTTTATGGTCGCCATCATCATTTCATTTAGAAATATGTGAAGCTGAGTGTTTTCGATATCCATTAGTAAGTGTAGAAGCTACTTTGTTATCAGCCTTGTTCTTATTTGTGAACGTGGTATTACTTTTGCTGTGTTGACCAAGACCGACACGTGGTGTCGTGAATGGACCAGTAGTTTCGTACTATACAGGAATACCCAGTCTTACTCGTGCACGTCTTTCTTTGGTCTCCGTGTGAACATTTCTTGTGTTCTTATTATGTCCTCTTTTCACAGATAACGATTTTTGTCGGCGTTTTAATACATATTTTTACTCCTCAAGTCGGTTGTATAAGTGAACGTATATTCAATGCGTTTTTATACGATAGCATAGCTGTTTATGTTTATCTAAAAAAAGGTAAACCAAACCGTAATTCTACCTCGAATTCGAAAATTGGGGACAAAGTTGGAGTGTGGATGATCTAATTTTTGTTGAATTTGCTGAACAATGACGATGTTGAGTCAAATTTCCCCAAAGTTTTGTTTTTCGGTTAAGTGTAAATATAGAAACCATATCAACATGGTGGATGAATTTAATTTTCGCTAAAGTTTTTAGGACTAACCATCATTTTCATGCAACGTTTTCAGGACTAACAATCATTTTCATGCAACGTTTTCAGGACTAACCATCATTTTCATGCAACGTTTTCAGGACTAACTATCATTTTCATGCAACGTTTTCAGGACTAACTATCATTTTCATGCAACGTTTCTAGGACTAACCATCATTTTCATGCAACGTTTTCAGGACTAACTATCATTTTCATGCAGCGTTTTCAGAATATAGGATCATTACAGTCGACGTTTTCAGAATTTACACTTTTCTGCGACGTTTTTAGGACTAACCATCAATTTCATGTGACGTTTCTAGGACTAAGGATCATTACAGTCGACGTTTTCAGGACTTAGGTTTATTTTCAGACCACGTTTTTTACTAACCATCATTTGTAGTCGACGTTTTCAGGACTTTCAGACCACGTTTTTTACTAACCATCATTTGTAGTCGACGTTTTCAGGACTTAGGTTTATTTTCAGACCACGTTTTTTACTAACCATCATTTGTAGTCGACGTTTTCAGGACTTTCAGACCACGTTTTTTACTAACCATCATTTGTAGTCGACGTTTTCAGGACTTTATTTTCAGACCACGTTTTTTACTAACCATCATTTGTAGTCGACGTTTTCAGGACTTTCAGACCACGTTGTCAGGAGATTCAGACGACTGATTTATACAATGTCTTGGTTACAATATTATGACTAGAAATAACAAAACGCAATCAAAGCTTTACATTATCAAACACATAGTGATCTTTATCATATTAAAACACATTTACAACACAGCCCGGACCGAGAATGCGAATACTGCGTACTAATGTTTAAAAAAATAGAAAAAGAGATATGATGCCGGCTTCATTGACACCGTTGTCGTGTTTAGATTTACACCACCGTATGCCGTGCTCAGAGACAAGTTTTGTCTTATTGTGTGCAACAAGATTTACGAGGGGGCTTATTCAACTGTGTGGTATCTTGTATAAGGGTTTCCTCGACATTATGTTATCCATATATCTAACCTGTTTCTGCCTTTTACGTACAAACACGGCGTCTCGGGTCAAATGCAATGGTACTGTCTAGTCGGTGACTAGACCTGGACACTGACCTAAATAGTTTCTTTTTCAGAAAATATTTATATTTCTGAATACATGTGTATATATCACATGTATGCTTTCATCAACACAAAAAGTAATCATTTATCTTGTTTAGTGTGAGTGGAAACATCTCTCATATTTACACATTTCAATAAATAAATCACTACACAATAGTATACCTTCGTGCTGCATCATTGTGTTGACGTCAGTATGACGTCAAATGTCTCACCATGTTTCCAACAGAAGTGCTTGAAGTAGATTTGATCTACATGGTATGTAAGATATCACATTTCATTACAAAGTTTGAGAGGATTAATTACTGTCCCCCTCGCCCCACCCACCCCACCCCGAGGATTGATAGCTGTCACCCCCTCTCCACCCACCCCGAGGATTGATAACTGTCACCCCCCCCCCCCCAGGATTAATAACTGCCCCCTCCCCCCAACCCACCCCGAGGATTGATAACTGTCACCCCCACCCCACCCCGAGAATTGATTACTGTCACCCCCTCCCCACCCCGAGGATTGATAACTGTCACCCCCTCCCCACCCCGAGGATTGATAACTGTCACCCCCTCCCCACCCCGAGGATTGATAACTGTCACCCCCTCCCCACTCCGAGGATTGATAAATGTCACCCCCTCCCCACCCCGAGGATTTATTACTGTCACCCCCTCCCCACCCCGAGGATTGATTACTGTCACCCCCTCCCCACCCCGAGGATTTATTACTGTCACCCCCATTTCTTTCCAACCAGCAACAGAGCGACATTCATACACTAAAATATAGTCATTACAAAGTGTGCTTTGGTTTCATTATTTACCTTGGTCTTCGCAGGTGTGTAAAGTTAGAATATCTTGGCATGTAATCTACAATGGGCGCTGCTGCACTTAAAATCCAGTAGTTCGAATCCCCACAGTCAAAATACGGGTCAGTGAATCTAACGGGAAGTAGCCTTTCATCCTTGTCGCTCTGTCCGGGAGAATTGGGACCAAAGAAGTTGGTTGTTTCAAACTCATCGTGGATAAATTCACCGGTAACATTTGAATATTTTATCTTCACAGAATATGTAAATTTAAGAGTGGAGTCTTCATCTGATGTCAAATCCGGGAGCCAGAATTGGTACCAGGGACTCATCTTATAGGCTTCACTGGAATAGTTCATATTTGTACCTGAACCAATATCCTTGACAACGTTTGTTCTTCCTGTTGGTTCTCTTAAGATGACACCCATATCAAACGTATCGTCTGCTCGCCAGGATTTGGCGGCAAACAGTGGAAGAGTGTTGTTGAAATTTAAGTTCGTCATCCAATTCGGATAGTAACAGTTGTTATCAAAAGCCACCATACTACCGTTGAAAACATCTTTGTTACCATTCATGTCACCTGTGATTGACATGAAAATCTGTAGCCAATTTGGTTGGATAGGAAATGACTCCGAACTGTTCAATTTCTGCATGATGAAACTGTAGAACATCGCCCGATTTAGCGCCATATTGTGCATCTGAACTAAAGCTGTTCTGTTCTTGTAATAAATCTTACTGCGAAGTTCATTAAATTTTGGAATCTGGGAAACCGAATTTCTCGGCAGAGTAAGATCTTGCTTGGATTTAGCCCTGCAGTTGGAGTTTTCAATAAGATCTATCTGATTTTGTACTTTAGAGTGGTTGTCTCCTTTAATCCATCGGAACACGCTCTGACACTGGTATGTGAGGAGAAGGGATAGGATCAAAAACCCTAAAAACGACCACTTGTCGTTATCCATTCTTCCGGATTTATGGAAAAAACAAAAATCTGTAATCAGTCCCACGTTATCCAAATACCATTCATTGGGAAAACTGTACCATTTTCTGAAATACAAAGAATAAAATAAATGCTTTGTTAAGCCGATTGAACGTGTTTAAAATCGGTAGTTGACGCTTTGTCGCATGCAGTGTCTAGCATGCCATTTCATGTGATTTATTGATTTTATTAGTCTACATTATTCCTCCAAAATTTCTGATTAAACAATTCATTTACAAACAGATTAATCTGAAGTGTTGTCTACGATAACAGTAGTATTCACTATTTACATTCGGTATCTTTATCACCATTGGAACTTCAGGTTAGCCACTTCACTAGTGTTAACAATAATTTATTAGAAATGTGCTGAAAACGAAATCCAAAAATGTTACTGTAGAGTTCAGACCTGAAATCCTTAACACCTAAAACCATATAACACTATGTCATAGTCGTCATGACACCAGACAGGAGACGATTACCCTTAATGTAAGTGTATATAATCTATATACATTAAAAAAAAAAATAAATAAAAAAAATAAAAAAGTACATTTTTCTAGACAACGACACAGAGAAACATATAGATCAAATTATTTATATATAAAGTTTTGACAAGAAAAGTCGATTTTGGGACATATTTCCTGACGCATCAATGTCAGTGCGACATGCTGGCAGTCAATGTTAAACTTCGACTTAAAGTGTGATCTGGGTATCTGAAGGAGGAACGAGTATAAGATTATGTTATAAAAAGGTGTAGAAACGAACAGAACTTTCCAATAGGAATTTATCCTAGTTCAAAATATGTCTAAATAGTATTCCCTCTTTGTAAGGAATATCCCGATGACCTTTTCCAGAAGCCTCACTGCACATTTTCTAATAGAAGATTTATAAATATCCGATATTATGGAACTGTAAGTGTATGCCAAATTACTCTCAACAACCGACTACGGAATATAGGTCGATATTCTGGTGGAGTACCCGACTGAAAATCATTGACTAAATATTCTATAAACCGGTAGTCAATAGAAACGGACTATCATAGGGTAGGGTTTCATTTATCATCACCTTTAGTGTTTCAGGACGCATTATTTATCACTTGTTATCTGATGCCACTGAGAGCCAAACCTCACCAATCCCAAACATGAAACATCGCATCATAAAAACATCCTCACACACGAATACAAAAATGAATATCAAAACGACACACATACACACACCACAAAAACACACAACACTCACCACAAAATACCCTCATACACGCATCACAAAAACACACAACACTCGCCACAAAATACCCTCATACACGCATCACAAAACGACACACATGCACACACCACAAAAACACACAACACTCACCACAAAATACCCACATACACGCATCACAAAGCCCAAACAAACACACACCACAAAAACACACAACACTCACCACAAAATACCCTCATACACGCATCACAAAACGACACACATGCACACACCACAAAAACACACAACACTCACCACAAAATACCCACATACACGCATCAAAAAGCACAAACAAACACACACCACAAAAATACACAACACTCACCACAGAATACCCACATACACGCATCTCAAAGCGCAAACAAACACACACCACAAAAACACACAACACTCACCACAGAATACCCTCATACACGCACCATGAAAACACACCTACACACATCATGAAAACACACCTACACACATCATGAAAACACACCTACAAACATCATGAAAAACAGACATACACACATCATGAAAACACACCTACACACATCATGAAAAACACACCTACACACATCATGAAAACATCTACACGCATTACGAAAACACACCTACACAAATTATGAAAACACACCTACACACACCACAAAGGCACACCTTAACACATAATGAAAACAGACCAATACGCATCCCGAAAACACGACTACGCACACCACAAAAACACACCATTACACATCACGAAAACACACCTACACACACCACAAAAACACATCTTTACACATAATGAAAACACACCAATACGGATCCCGAAAACACGACTACACACACCACAAAAACACACCTTTACACATCACGAAAACACACCTACACACACCAAAAAAACACATCTTTACACATAATGAAAACACACCAATACGCATTACGAAAACACATCTACACGCATCCCGAAAACACGACTACACACACCACAAAAACACACCTTTACACATCACGAAAACACACCTACACACACCACAAAAATATATCTTTACACATAATGAAAACACACCAATACGCATTACGAAAACACATCTACACGCATCCCGAAAACACGACTACACACACCACAAAAACACACCTTTACACATCACGAAAACACACCTACACACACCACAAAACACATCTGTACACATCACGAAAACACACCTACACACACTACAAAAACACATCTTTACACATCACGAAAACACACCTACATACACCACAAAAATACATTTTTACACATAATGAAAACACACCAATACGCATTACGAAAACACAACTACACGCATCACGAAAACATACATACACATATGAAGAAACACATCTTTACACATCATGAAAAACACAATTGTATAAAAACCACTTAAACATGCATAGAACATTAATCACAAAAAACATTCAACAACACACACCAAAGACCATTAAAAACGGCATCATCAATAACAACTACAGCAACAATACAGACATAACAAATTACTGCACCGAACCAACATCATGAACATCATACTAAGCGGAAGAGCAATCAAAAGAAGAAAAAAATGATATCAAAACTATAAAGACAACACCACCTTCAGTAAAAAGATATACAAAAGGCATCTACAACACCAACAATGTCAACTTCAGACCAAAACAACATCAAACAATAACACAGTAATAACATTAATACTGTCATAAAGTTTTACAAATTTTGATTGAAATATTTTTTTAGTTCTGAAATAGGAATCCATATGTTAGCGCCCGTTGTGTTGCTTGCATATATGTAGATGGAATAGAGACGTGATCAAATAACGTGATTAATAACGTGATTATGTTCTTGTCTTATTTTATATGAAGGCCCGCAGGTCTAGGTGTGTATCGAGTGACCATCTATTGACCAGCAAGGTCCAGTTTGAAATTTAATGATTCGTTTGGTGAGAGTTGTAATACACTGGAGACTAGTACAGTGGTCAGCGCCAGTCGGGTATAAGCCGAGGTTAATGATTTCGCTTGATCTTTGGACCATGAAATAAAAAAAAATATTTGCCAGACCGTAGTGTTTAACTAGTCAGTCTACTGGAAGCATGTACATTTTACTGATTGTAATATCAACAATTTAGCTTACCCTCGAGCTCAGACCGAACCCTGTCGTAATAAAGCTTGTTTAACTTAACGTTACTTACTTTGTGTAGTTTAAAGTTGTTAATTTGTAAGACAAGATCAAAGAATAACGAAACCAAAGTACGTTAAAAATTTCAACATATATACAAAAACAGATGAATTCCAGGATTTAAAGAGATATTTTTCATCCACAAAAAAAAAGCTTTACTTCTAATTTTCGTATCAAAACAGTTAATCCTTTCTCAATTATGTATTTCTTATTTTTTCATTATTAAGGTAATTTGAATATATCATGAATTAATATCGTAATGTTTCGTCGGTGCTCTGTCAAAGCACCGACAGAATCTTGAATCTATTTTTTTAACGCAATCGGGTACCACAATACAGCGACAGCTATGACTAGCGTCTGTAGAGTGAAATATCTACTTCTCGTTGCAGAGAAGTCTCTAGACTCACTTATAATTAAACACATAAATAAAGCTGTATATATTGAACTTTTGATAAATTAACACATTATAAAGCTTAATTTTATAAATCATATATACAATGTTGATCAAATAAAATCAACTTTTGGCGTATACTCTTTTCACTCACCTGTTTGAAATTATTTAAGTCCCATTTGGTTTCACGGCACTTGTTGAAAATGAAACTCCCATGAAAAGGAAATTCATGAAATCAACATAATTCCAAAGTATAAATCCGTTGTGTCATTCATTCACAAAAGTTAACGTGTATATTGTTATACTGTGTCAAACAACGAGGACATAATCCAACACAATTGTTCAAATTTGGGATTATTTTGTTGTCGCAGGAATACGTTTGAAATGTGTGAATAGGCTGTCCGTGTCTATATCGTCTTCCATACACGTATTATGCATGGTATTAAGCGCCAACACTTGACGGAAAGGTGATACGCTATATAAAGATAGGTTCATCTCAAGGACAGAACTTCGCCCTTCACGGGTGGACGCTTTCCCCAGACAAAGAGCTCGCTTACATGGGGCCTTGTAATCATTCCACATGTGTGTCTGTAGAAGTTGTGCAGTATGTGTATAGATTCAGTGCTTGGAATAAAATTAATAGTTTACGATAGTTGAAGGGGTGTAGTAAGGTGAGACCAATGTCAACATAGAAATAGTAATTCTGCTGTTTACTACAAAAGCACAAACGCCGACAATTGTATCCGCGTTGATTTATTTAAGTTTTGTATATTTATCGTCATCTTTATCTAAGAATGCGATTGGTTTAACTTTTCAAACTTTTATGTCTCACGATATTCAGAAGAGTGATTCCTTACATTGGGGGAAAAAAGCTGATTTGTTGCATTGATGTGGATTAGCTCGTCTCGATGAGGGAAGCGATTGGGAATATTTTGAGAATAAAAGCTCTGTGTTGTTTCACAGACACGTTTAATCGAAGTGCAATTCATATGAAATATAAATCAGTTAGTCACAAGATGAATGTTTTAACCAATATATTCATCAGAGAGTTTACAAAATCCGTCGGTAAATGAGAAGGGATGATCAAATGTGTTAAGGAAGAGAACAGATGTACCTTAAAGCTTATTTTCCTAGATGTAATCTAAGTGTGTATGATAGTGTTGAATTATTGGGAGAAAGCATTTTCATAACTATTCATTAGATTAAGTCCTCGGCTACACGAAGGTA